TCGTCTTACATATACAATTAGTGTTTTGACTAACAAATTGTTTATAATGATGTATTTAATATACAGAGTTCACATAATGATACGTTATCTTTAGAAGAATTTACATAAATTACAATATGCAAATTAAGTACATAAATTGCCTTACGTCTAATCTCTAGCATTCGAATTTTAATCTATAGAATTAGATTAAGAATCTTATCTTGAAGAATTCAAGAAAAACATGTTTTATGTAATTTTTAACCTTTTACACTGCGTATAACTTTTTATATGATGCATTATGTTTCTCTATTGGATTGCCGTTTCAGTAAATTATTAGAAATTTTACGTGGTGCAATTTTAGTAATTTAAAACGCAAGCAATATAGCAGGAAAAATACATCGTATACCTAGCTTAATAGGTCGCGAAGATAATGCATTCCGATATTTCTGATATCTATTGTGTGCAATCGAGACTCTGTATTATATTGAATTTGTTTCGATTTTTTGGTATATTTATTATAATATTCTATTAGTGATTCTTTTTAGAAAAATTCACTTTGTTTTGAGAAAAATCATTCTTTTTTTACTATTCAATTTTAAAAAACTAGCAAAGAGATGTCTGTTTTATTTCGATTACGTTTAAATCACTCCAAATTTAAGATTTATGTGACATTATGTAGTTTTCCATACTTAGAATCCAATAATTTTGAGTATTGCGCTGAAAACATGCCATATATCTAATTGCTAATCTCGATCGTAAAATATATAATATAAAATATTGTATATGAAATCTGTAATATTAAATAAACATGAACAAAGAGTACATCATACAATTACACAAATTAACACTATTATTACTTATGTTTTGTGCTCAATTAGTCATGCTAATGCTATTTTGTTTCCTACATAATATTCGCAGAACAACAAATATATTATAAGTAAAAAACAGATTAAAAATAAAATTATATCTGTGTAAATAATTTGCAAGATTTTTTAAAGAGAAAACATCTATTATTAAATATATGTATTAAGAAGATATATGTATTAAGAAGATAAATAATTTTTTGTTTGTAATATCAATATGAACAATTGTAAATTATAATTTAAAAATAAATAAGATAGTAGATTTAGCTTAATTAAAGTTAAAATAAATTAATTTAATTTCTTTTAAACGTGAATATGTAAATTGAATAAAATGCGATAATGTTTATCAATACAGTATTACCTCGTTATAAATATATGATTTACATATTAATGTAAAAACAGCAAAATGTTATCACGATTTCCCGAAACTCATTTTCATTATTAATTCTTTGTCAATAAAAATAAAATCTGTTGTATATAATAAATTCATACTTTAATAATATTGATTACTCATATATTATTCTTTCATTTGAATAAACTGTTGAAATGATTCCGATATCAGAATTATTGTTTTAAAATTAAATCTCTATTTACAATTGTCTTTATCAAGAAGTATAATTTCTATATAATCTTAGATTACGGGAAAAATAATTTAATAAAAGCAAATATAAGATTAATCTCGAGTTACATACACAATTATCTCCTAGAGATAATAATTTAAAAAATAAGCAATCATATGCAATTATATTAGATTCAAGATCATATATTAGCTTTTCTTCTTTAACAAATTACTGAGTATTTCTTAAAGACTAATGAACATTATTTTTTAAATAATAATTAATTGTCCGATTTATATTTTGAGTAAGAAATATAATTACATTGTTACACACTGTGCAAAAATATAAAAAAAAATTTGTCGATTGCACTTTTAATATTTCTTACATTTTTATTTTCATCGTTTATCAATTTACTTAATAGCTCTTAATAAATTTAATGACAAATTAGAGTTAATTTTAAAAAGTTTTCTAATTTTATTTATATGTATTATTAAAAATACACACTTTAGTGTCTCATTAAAATCTCCTAAAAAAATAAAAATATGTATTAGTAAATTAGTAAGTAAATTCGTAGTTGTTTTTATAAAAATAAAGATATAATTCAGAAATAGAATTTGAAAATTATGTATATTTCTGATTTACAATTCAAATGCATTACTATGAATGATATTTTTATAATTGTTTCAATTCTCTTTCGAAGTCTCGGTCTAGAATAATAATTAGAATAATTACGTGATACGATCAATGCCAAAAGTGAATTATTTTTCATAGCTTCCAACAGTGATTCAACAGATTTTATTTTACAGTCAGTTGTTAGAATGACTTCGATGTCTTATCTTTAACTCTTTGTAAGGAAACTCTTTATAAGTGACATATTTCTGAGAAAACATTGTGTAAATATAGTGTTAATATGTGTAAATATAGTGTAAATATAGTGTAAATATTGGTGTCTAAATAATAGTTTTAAATCACAAATCATCTTTTGAAACTTGTGCTTATCCGCTACAGGAAATTGTGCGTTTTTAATCCAAAAATAAAAAGAATGCATGGATTTTTCAGGAAGCGGTCCATTTAACACTACAAATGCAACAATTGAAGTATTTGACTGACCAACCAGAAGAATTTCACTAATTGATCAATCAAAAAAATACTTCGAAACATTTGTACATCAAGTGGATCACAGTCTTAATATGTAATGTATATCTTTAAATTAAAATATCTAAAGATTATTTCATTTATATAGTCTATTCAAATTTTTAAGATTTTTTAATATAAGATTTCAAAGATATAAAGATACTTTATCAGAGATATTTGATAGTTCATATTCATTTTCATTAACTTTAAAGATGATAAAACATTCAAACAATTAATATAAAATTGTAATAAAAAAGGTAATAAGTAATTTTATAATAAAATAGATATAAATAAATAAATTATGAAA